AATTTAAAGTTAAAAACTAAAGCAGTGTCAAATATTTTTCTATTAAATAAAATTCTACTGTTTTGGGTGGACTATATTTTCATTTAACCATTGAAAATTCAGTGTCTGACTTCACTGAATTTCGAAGATTTAGGATTAAAAGAACAAGAAAATATCTCATTAATAACATTGATATCAATTATATTTTGAAATGATAACACTTAGGATATGCTGGGTTAAGTAAAATATATTACTAAAATTAATTGTTTTTTACTTATTTTAATGTGGCTGCTAGAAAAATATTAAGTTTCACATGTGGCTCGTAGCACATTTTACTCAGACGGCACTGGCCTAGGCCATCTCTCTGGCATCCAAGAGAACAAATGTGGTTCTGCTTCAAGCCCTCCCCAGAGCTCATCTTCCTGGTCTCTAATTATAAAAGAGGTTCGGAAAGAAAAAACTTTTTCCCACCATTGCAATACGGAGGAGTGTGTACATTCCCTGGAAAAATATTCCCACACGTCTAGTCTCAGATAGACCTCTCCTGCTTGGACAACCTCCCCTTGGTGGGTACAAGGCCTAGAGTACCCAGAAGGCCAAGGGGGCCTCCCTTAGCAACTCCATAAGCTGGTGGATAATGCCCATGAGCACCGCCTATGCCTCTGACGTGGCATTTATCTCTCCTCATGCATTCCCAGATTCTGCCCTCCTCAGAGGTGGGGATCAACCCTACACTCAATGCCCACACACTGTTCTCTGCATCTGCCCTTCTCTGGCCCCTCTGTCCCCAGCCACACTGACTAACTCTTACTTTCTACAGGATATTATGGTGGCTCTGTGCCACTCCCTACAGCCTTCTCATCTTTGTCTATGATGAAATGAGAAAATTGGCCATTCGTCATCATCCTGGCGGTGAGGCTCCTTGCATCCCACTCTGACTGAGTGGTCACCAGCCTCCTAACTAGTTTTCCCATCCCACCTGGTTCCTTCAGACCCATTGCCCTTCTTCCCTCCTCACTGCTTGGGCTGTGCACAGACCCCAGTTCTTCAGTCCTTGATTCTACCGTCCTGCTCCTCCCAGCTCTCGGTGCCCTGCATTCCACCCTCAGGCCTCTCACCCGGTCCTTGCTTACCCTTCTGGTCATCCCTTCGTGCTCCCATGGCCTTTCCCAGTTCAATCTGGTCTCTTCTCTCCCACAGGCTGGGTGGAAAGGGAGACCTACTACTAAACTCAGAAGAGGAAGAGCTTCACATGACGTGGGAGTGTCCTGAGAGCCCGGTGGGGCATTAGAGATTATGAGTTTGGCACAACATCTGAGTTGGGACAGAAAAATGCTGGGATGAATCACCTTGAATGAGAGGGAGACAATCCTGGGTCTGGGCTGATGGCACCATGGGTAGGAGATGGAGTGGGTTGAGGGTAATGAAGTCCTCTGACTGGAGCCCAGCAGGGAGGGGCCTTGTCCTGTTGAATCAGTAACCAGTCTAGAGAGTAAATGTTTACAACATCTCTCACCTGCTGGATGTGTTGCATCTGATTTTGGGAGAGTGGAGATTACTGTGATGCTCTCATTCTGGATCTTCAAGGCAGCCAGGCAGGGAAAGGCAGGGACCACATTCGAGGCTGGGAGGGGATCAGAATCAAGCATTGTTGCCCCTTGATGGCTATCCCAATCTTAAAGTAACTCTCTCACCCAATGGAGAGCAAGGACAGGACAAGTCAGGCTGGAATCAGAGCAATGGGAGAGGGAGAGAAAAGAACAGCAGAGCCACACACTGCAGAGGGGACCACAGCACCCACATTCAGTGCGGCAGGCAGGCTCATCCAGCCCCCACTTTAGCTCCTCAGATCAGCTTATAGAATCAGAGTTTTAGTGCTAGAAGAGACCTTATTTCATCAATGAAGAACCTGAGGTCAGAGAGGTTGAATGACTTGGGAAGGGTCACATGGTGAGTGGCCAATGTGGGGCTGAGGAAGGCACTGGTAACCCTGCCCTCCACCCGCTGTGGTGGTCAGGTCATCTCTACCCCATCCCACCCCTGAACCCTTTCTTTCTGCTGTGGCCTTGAAACAGGCAGAGACAGCGCTTTCTGCATCCCTGCAGCCTTTCCTTTAGCACCCAGCTGCCCCATGCCCCAGACTCCACAAGGGGTGATGGACATTCCCAAAAACCTGGTCTCTGAGCCTAAGCCCACGGGCTTTGCTGTGTCTCTGGTGGGTGAGGAGTCCCCAGGGAGCCTTTCTCTCTTGCCCAGCTCTTCCTTCCTCTTCACCCATTCACTGGCTTTGCTCTGTGAGTCGGTCCACTTTGCCCTCTGGGTCAGTTCATTCTCAGGCTCCTTTTAGAGGAGAGGGTTGGCTGTGTCCCAAAGCATACTGAGCAAGAGAGAACTGCTAAGGAAAGCTGGGGGAAATCATAGACTGTCACCAAAAACAAAGTAAACGTGTTTAGTGACTTCATACTATGCCCGCAGTGGGACAAGGGCCTTATACCACCCATTAATTCATTCAATAAATATATTCTTGCCACTCCACCCCGTTTGATAGATGAGAAAGCCAAGGTCTTTCAGATTCCAAAACTTGTACCCTTCACCACTTTCCAGACTAGTTTTACAATGATGGCTGGGCCAGAAATATACAAATACAATAAAATGAACAAAAAATAGGGTGGTGATGGAAGAAGGGTCACGGGCAGGTCTGGGTGGGAGGCCAAAGAGAAGGGCATTGTAAGGTATAGTCAGCCACTGTTCCCCTACATCCACCCCTTCAGAGGTCTCCCCACCCATGCTCCCCTCCCTCCAATGCAAGGTCTCCTAGGGACAGAGCTATATCAGTCTGGGGTCCTTCCCCCAGCTGCTGACACGGCTGAACCAGACCCTGGGAGATGGAGGGGCCAGGGGGTGTGTGAATGAGGTACGGAGGGGCCAGCTCCTCAGGTTTCAGGAGCAAGAGCTTCGGGTGTCTGGTGGGTTAAAAATACAGAGGCCCCAACTCAGGGTCATTTGATACCAGTGGCTGAGCCTGCTGAGTCCAAGGGCCTGAAAGCAGGGGCCCAAAGGGAAGGGACTGAGTAGAAAGAGAACAAAGCATTAGAGAGCCAAGGTGGGGTGGTGCAGCTACAGGAAAGCATAGGGTGGCACTGAAGAGCCAAGGGCAAAGGGAAGGAGCAGGATGGGGCGAAAAGTCTGGTAGCTGCAGGAGAAATGAAGAAATGGAGAAGCCTGGGCCACCATTTAATCCCATTTCACACCCTTGGGGTACAGAGGGTCAGATTCATCATGGACAAGTCTGATGTTCCAATGTCCCTGTCCAAATGTTTCCCCTCCCCCAGAGTGCAGCAGATGTGAGAAATCAGGGCTGGACGTCATCTAAGTCATCTACTTCTGGCGGGTCTGCCCATCTGTCCCACTGTCTGCTCGGTGTGGGACTGTGAGCACATTCGTCCCTCTCCTGTGAGCCCAGGAGATGGGTCCCGAGCTCTTCAGCTCCAACACGCCCTGCCTAGGCTAGCTCTGGCCCCTCCTGCCCGGTGACAGCTATCCCTCTTGGACTCACTCCTGCCACGGTGCCGAGATTGTGTGTGTCCTGCCTGCCTCAGCCGTGCAAGGTCTGCCCCACGGGGGTGTGGAAAAGTTACTCTATCAGAATCTCATGCCACTGCCTGAGGGCAAAAGAAACACGGTCACTCCAAAATCCCAGCTATGTCAGGGTGGGGCCGGGGGTTTCTGACTTTGATCCAGCCCCTCCTCGATCTCCCTCATGCCTCATTTTACCTGCGAATGGTAAGAGCCCTGAAGGGCTACGAAGAAGGTCCTTCCTTCCCAGGTACACAGAGCTGAACTCATCCGCTTGGCCCTCACCCCCAAGATGGGCTCCAGAAAGTTAGAGCCTCTCCCTCCCAACTCGGGTTGGCCCTCAGGCGCACAGGATTCATCCACATCCCTGGCTCAGTGCACACAGCCCACCTCTTCATGATTTCCTGGTGGTAATTTCCCCCCCACCCCAGTGTTTATACCTGGTCTTGTAAAAGACATAGGAATGAATGACTGCTTTCCGCTGCTCTCCTTGGAACCACTCAGCCTGGGACCCTCCCTCTCCGCTGTGCCCAGAAAACCCGGGCCCATAGGATCAGAGTCCCCAGCACAGGCAGGAGGCCGCATCCAAGGGCTGTCTCCGCGCGTCGTGGGCAGAGGAATCCCGAATGCCCATCTCTCCAGGATGGATGTGGCCAGCAGGCCTGGCCCACGCCCGCCCTTCCCCTGCCTTCCCAAGTTAGGAGTGTTGAGTGCAGCAAAGGAAACCAGCTGGAACCGAGCCAGGGCTCCGGTGCTGGACCTGGCTCCATCTTTTATTCAGAGAATGACCTCATCCTTGGTCCTGGTTCTTAAAAGGGAAGTGCAGGGGGTCCCTTTCCTGAGGCCTGGGCCGCATTTTTATTGCCCCCTCTTCTCTACCGGATAAAAGAAGCAGACTTCACCCAGAAGGAATTCCAGGTTTTAGGACTTAGAGTTGATATTGCGTCTGTCCCTTCTCTCCTGTGTCATGAATTTACCCTCTGACCCAGAGTATCTCCCTCTTTACCCCCCATTCCTTCTCTCTGAGTCCCCTTGCCCTCACTTCTCCTAATTACCCCAACTTGCCCCTCCACCAGCCCCAGTTTCATTTACCTTCGACTCATCTGGTCTTATTTTTAGCTCCAGCTTTTTCCTTTCTTAATATGGTGCTGAGCTCTCAGGCTGGTGTGGGGACAGGGGCTGGAGCCCTGGACATTGTGGGGAGGGGAGAGGGAGAGGTCTCCGGGAGCCTGGGGGAGAGGGGCAGGAGGTGGGAGGGTTCCAGTCTCATGGAGCTGTCCTGGTCTCGGAAGGTTACCCCTCTCTCCTGCCAATTTTGAAAACATATTTAGACAGGACCAGGTGGGGCTGAGGAGTGCCAATCTCAGGGGCAGCTCGGGTTCCCTCCCCGCCCCCGCTCCTGTTCCTCCTCCTGACCCTTTTTCTCTTGGCTCTGTTAACAGTGTCTCCAGGACCCAGCAGTGTCCTCTGTCCACTGCCCTAGGCTGTCCCGACCCCACCCTCACTGTGAGCCCCTAACTCAGGATTCAGGACCCAGGGGCCCCTCCCCACCCCAGCGAACCTCTTCTGGACCAGGAGAGACAACCCAGGTCTCGCTACCTCCATGCACGCTGCAGACAGGATGAGGGCCAGAGCTGTGCCGGGCCTTCGGCGGGCGCTGCTGTTGCTGCTGGTGCTGGGGGCGCCTGAGGCAGGGGTGCAGGCGGAGGACGGGCTGGACTTCCCCGAGTACGACGGAGTGGACCGTGTGGTCAACGTCAATGCAAAGAACTACAAGAACGTGTTCAAGAAGTACGAGGTGCTGGCACTGCTGTACCACGAGCCCCCGGAGGACGACAAGGCCTCGCAGAGACAATTTGAGATGGAGGAGCTGACCCTGGAGGTGAGTGCTGGGCTCTGCAGGTCTGCAGAGCACACCTAGCCCCTCTCTGCCACTCCCCCATCCTACAACCCCAGGTAGGCCTTTCGGGGTGGGATCTGGGGCCAAAAGGACCCAAATGGCATGTAGCCTCAGCCAAATGAGAAACAGAGGTTTGGGGACGCACAAGGACCACTGGAGTCAGGCAATTTGGGGGGAGAGGGGGACTGTGAGGAGCGTCTCCTCCATGCTACAGGAGGCTGGTAGGACTAGGTTTAGCTAGAACTGAGGGGCTCTTAGAAAGGGGTAGAAAAGGAAAAGAGGTTCTTCAGGGGAAAGGAAGAACTGCGATGCAGAGGACTGCACCCCCAATCTATATTCCTAGCCAGGGCAGCACCCCAAAGAGATCTAAACTGAGTATAAATTTAAATGCTGTTAACACCTTGCATGTCCTTTATTTCATGGCTAACGGTTTACTAGAGACCACCACGCCTCCCACGTGTCTCCCAGTCCCTCTCTCTCCCTCCACTCCCTTACTCCCCATCTGCCCCTTTGGATCAAGCTGGATATTCTGATGGGAAGATTATTGTGGCTGTAGGAGGCTTCAGAATGCCTTCCCCAACTTCTCTCCTCAGCCCCCTCACCCCCAAGCTGATCTCAAGCCCAAGGGGGAGAGAGGCTATTATAACAAGAGAAACACCTGAGTTTGGGGATGCAAACACATGCTCCTCCAGGAGCGGGCACGTGTGCCCGGCGCCTTGTCCAAGCTTCAGCAGCCCCTTCTCTGTCTTGCCGTACAGATAGGCCCCAGCTCCCCCAGAGCTTGGAGTATTTCAGGGCAGGATACCAGGACCGCGAGCCCTCATTTCTGTGTGCCCCTGCCAGGTGCTGGAACCTGCCATCTGATTAATGAGCTGAGTATTTTTATCCTGAGTGCTCAGCATCCGTGGCCATCCTCCTGCCAACTGCCTCCCTTCCTGTTCTCCTGAAACGGCAGGAGCTGAGTCTGTGTTAGGTGGGCTTAAGCCGAAGGCCACACCCAAGGCAGAGCACATCAGGGCTGGGAGTCTGGCTGTCAGGCTGAGGGACAGCCACCTGGGGGGTGACTGTCCACAGCCTCAGGACAGGCTGAGGTGGAGGGGAAAGTTCACCTGGATGAGGGGGGCCCAGCTCATGTTCCTCTAGTCTCTGGTTCTCTCCCTCTGAGGGTAACGAGTGCTGGCCACAGTGACTCTCCTCTCAGCTTTCAGGCGTTTTCTACTCATCAGTAAGGTGACCAGCCCTCCCCCCACCCTCCTGCTCTCCAAAATCTTCCCATTGTGGGTCACTTGTGAGAATCCCAGGGACATCACCCCATACTTGGCATGGCCTTTGATGAAGATGGAGTGCATGGGCTCAGCCCTGAGCGAGGGAAGGGCCCTGGTTTCTCTAAAGTCAGGCTCCTCAGCATTCCTGAGGAAACAGGAATATCATGTAATAAGCACATTGCAAGCAAGCAATAAGTGTTCAGGCATTAAAACTGAGCTAAGGAACAAAAGGACGGGTTTCAGGAAAGGGGAGGTATTCTGGATCCTTGCATAGCATCAAGGTCAACTCTTCAACTCCCTGCAAACCAAATAACCAGGTTTGGAGCATGAGACGGGGCATAGGGGTTCCTAACAACTCCAGGGGCTGACTTCATCCTAACCCTCCTTGCAGTTAGCAGCCCAGGTCCTAGAAGACAAGGGTGTTGGCTTCGGGATGGTGGACTCTGAGAAGGATACAGCTGTAGCCAAGAAACTAGGTAAGGGCAGGGTGGGAGCACTAGGAGGGGAGGTGGCAGGTGCGACTGGACGGGCGGCCCTCCCATGGGCTGGGAACTCCACCAGGCCTATTCTGAAAGGGGGAGAAAACACTGAGATTGGAAGGGTTATGGCTGAGGGTCCTGGCCTCTTTTTTTCCTCATAGAGACCCATGCTCAACTCCCAGAAAAAGGTGGACATGGCCTTCTTTATATGTTTTTCAGATATCTAAAACACGGGGCTAGGTGCTGGAGGAAAGGGGAAGCAGGGAACTCAGGTGGGGCTGGACAGGCCTCGGCAAACGCCTCTTCCCACCCCTCCCCCTCCAGCCCGTGGCTAAGTGTCACAGCACAGGCCACCAGGGGGCAACACAGGACTGAGACTGGACACTGGATACTGATGGGGGCGGGGTAGTGAGTGATTAAGTCATCTAGTAACAGCAGAGGGTTAAAGGGCTGAACTGGCAACTGGCCACTGGAGTTCTCAGAGGAGGTGACATGAATCTCTCTCTAGTATGGCAAACAGAGAAAGGAGAAATCGTCCTACATACTCCCCTAACACCCCTGCCTGATGCCAGCTTCTCCCTGGAGATGGGCCCGGGGGTGTAGGGCTAAGGGGCATGGGGGTGGGTGAGGCTGGGGAAGCGGAGGGGGAGAATGTGGGGTCCAGGGGGATTATAAAATGGGCTGTCGCCCTGGATTTGGACTCTTGGCTCCGTGGGAAGGTTGGGGTCATGGCTCATGTCTGGCCTGCTCCCCAGGACTAACTGAAGAGGACAGCATCTACGTGTTCAAGGGAGATGAGGTCATTGAGTATGACGGGGAGCTTGCTGCTGACACCCTGGTGGAGTTTCTGCTCGATGTGAGGATTCATTACCCTGGACCTAATGGCCCTGCTTTAAGGCTTCATGCCTGTCCTCGACCAACCCCAACCTTACACACACACACACACACACACACAAGCCCTCTTCTCCCTCGCTCCTCTCCCTGCTTCCACCAGTGAGGACAGAAACTCACTCTCTTCCTTCGATGTCCCTGCTCTTCCAGGTCCTAGAGGACCCTGTGGAATTGATTGAGGGTGAACGAGAGCTGCAGGCGTTTGAGAACATCGAGGATGACAACAAACTCATTGGCTACTTCAAGAACAAAGACTCAGAGCGTGGGTAACCCTCAGACTCCACGGTTCCCCTCCCTGGGTCTCCCACTTAACCCACTTCACGGCCCCTGTCTCCTAACTCCTCTTGCCACAGTCATCTCCACCACCTGCTCTGATCTCCTGCACTTGGGGGGTCCCCAGAGGGGCACCTCCAGCATTCCTCTCCCCCCCACACACATGTTTTAACCACTCTCAGAGGGTTAGAGGGGTGGGTCTCAACTAGGGGAGACAGACAGACGGGAGCGGGCTCCTTGGCACACCTGCTCTGCCAGAGACTGACTCTGCATCCCCCTTCAGATTACAAGGCTTATGAGGACGCCGCAGAGGAGTTCCACCCGTACATCCCCTTCTTCGCCACCTTCGACAGCAAGGTTCTCCACCCAGAACATATTGGGTCTCCCTCACCCTCCTCAGCCCTCCAGCCCCTCTCCCAGCATCTACGGGACCTATTCCCTCCCTACACACCACACTCCCACCTCCACTCAGGCCTCTCCACCCCAAAGATTTTAGACTATCTAACCCACTCCTCTCATGTCCAGCTGAGGCCCAGAAAAGTGAAGACACTTGTCCAGTGTCACAGTGGCAGCCTCACTCCCTTCCTCACACTGCTCCCCCATCATAAGGCTTCTCATCATAATCCTGCATCCCCTGCTCCACCCCCACCCCCAAAGGTGGCAAAGAAGCTGACCCTGAAGATGAACGAGATTGACTTCTATGAAGCCTTCATGGAAGAGCCCGTGACAATCCCAGACAAGCCCAACAGCAAAGAGGAGATCGTCAGCTTCGTGGAGGAGCATAAGAGGTAGGGGCAGGGGCAAACCTGGGAGCAGGGCTGGAGCACCCGCCCTGGACGTGGGCCGGGGAATCTCGGCCAACCAGGAGGCTGCTCTCACCTTGCGATAACCCACTCTGGGTGCCAGTGCTCGTGGTACGCAGACCCTTTTCCACAATATTTTGCACCCTGACCAGCCCTGAGCCCTAACACGTCAAAGGTTCTCCATAAATGTGTACTGTGGATTATGATGAGTCTTGAGTGCCTGTAGTCTGCCAGGAGTTGAGAGGTGCTTTCTATCTCTGTTATTATATTTAATCCTTAACAACCTGAAGTAAAGAGGTTCCACAGGCAATAAGTGCCAGAGCTGACTTCCAACCCAGATCTGGCCTGTGGTGTTTCCCGTAGGCTACCCTCCGCCAGCGGTACTCAACAGGGTGGAGGGATTGGCGGAGAACTTCGCCCTCCAGGGGATATTTGGCAATGTCCTGAGAGATCTTTGGTTGGGGGGAATGCTGCTGGTGTTTACTGGGTAGAGGCCAGGGATGTTGCTAACCCTCCTGCAGTGCACAGAACAAGCCCCCACAGCAAAGCGTTACCTGGCCCCAAAAGCCAATAGTGTTGAGGTTGGGAAGCCTTGCCTTAAACTCAACACAGTTCTCTTCTTTCACAGTACTTCACAGCTGGAAATACCCTCTCAGTGCAAACCACACTCCCTCTCTCCCTCTAGATCACGGTCCCCTTCATCAGGGCAGGCATGCGTTTGCTTTGTTTAATTGTACACACACTTAGCATAGGGCTCAGAACATCTCAGGCACCCAAATTTATTGAATGAGTAAGTGAATGAATGAATGAGTGAATGAATGAATGAGTGAATGAATGAATGAATGCATGAATGAACGAATGAGCAAATGAATACTCCAATGCCCAGTTCTTACCGTCCTCATGAAAGTATCTCTTGCAGTCCCCTTGCCCACCTCCATTCTCCCACCTGTTTAAACTGTGCGCTGATCTGAGCCTGGTGCCCAGAGCTTAGACTCTGCCAGGTGTCTCTGTTCTGGGCTACATGCTGTCTGTAGGCATGGCCCACAGGCAGCCTCGGCTAGGGGGACCCTCTGGGGGGGCCCTTCTCACCCACTGAGGAGTGACTCTCTGTTCTAGATCGACCCTGAGGAAACTGAAGCCTGAGAGTATGTATGAGACCTGGGTGAGTAGCCCTAGACAGGGCCAGGCCCTGGGGGAGCAAAGGCGGACGCAGAGCCAAGTCCTAGAAACACCCCCCCCCCCACACACACACACTGCTCCTCATGCCTCGCTTGTAGGAAAGACACCAGCAAAGGTTGGGGGGGGGGGTTTGTTCTGAAGATCGTGTCACATATAAATTGATGAAGATGACAAGTTCTGGGGCTGAAGGGTTTGCCAGAGGAAGTCTGGGGCCCTAGAGCTGAACGGGGCAGTGTCATTTGGAAAAGGAAATGGGAGTTCCTACTCCCGTTGCTGTGGGAGTTCCTACCACAAGACTACACCTGATCCAGAAGCTGAATTTCCATAAAATTCAGGAACAAGGAAGATCTAGGGTCTGTCCTGGGCTCTCTGACTTCAGGCGACAGCTAAGGCCCTCCTCCTTTCCCCACACAGGAGGACGACCTGGATGGAATCCATATCGTGGCCTTTGCAGAGGAGGCTGACCCCGGTGAGGGAGGAAGATGGAGGAATTGGGGGAGCTGGTGAAAGGAGGAGTCAGGGGTGTTTGCTAGGGTATCTGCTTCCCTGAGGAGGCAGTCCTGGGAGAGTAAAAGTGGCCTGGGGCTAGACTTGTGAAGCTGTGGGAGGTGAGGGAAGAGATCTGTACTCTGTGTTCTCGATGTCCCTTTTCTCTCCACCCCACCTCATACTTCTTGCTTGTGTTCCCTCCAAGACGGCTATGAGTTCTTAGAGACTCTCAAGGCTGTGGCCCAAGATAACACTGAAAACCCTGATCTTAGCATCATCTGGATTGACCCTGATGACTTTCCCCTGGTAAGAGGCACCGCTCAGGCACAGCTGTCCTAAGTTAGGGCCTAGACTATGGCATGTTGTGAAAGGAGCTTGTTCCTGCCCCATCTCCTAGCTGGAGGCCCTGGGAGATTACACCTGCTGCATGCTCAAGGACACTGTGGCCATGGGGAGAGCCTGAGAAAAGGGGGCAGGATCATAAGCGAGCCACATGGGACATCACCCACATGACTCCCAGAGCAGAAGCTGAGCAGGGAATCATGCCCAGGGTTGACTCCTTCTAGAGAAAGCCAGAATTTGGGGGAGCAGATGAACACGTTAACCCTGCACGTGGATGTACACAGTCATCGAATCAAAGCACAGAGATTCCCTGTTTCAGGGGATGGCTTTTTTCCCAGCTTAATCCCCAACACCCAACCCTCATTGTTGAAAGACTAACTGAATGAACAAGCAGAAATGTGAGGAAATTGGCAATTACCAGGTATAAATAACTACCTTAGTTTAGAGATGTAGAAACTGAGGGCCAGAAACAAATGACTTGCACAAAGTCACAGGGTCACCCAGTAGCAGAGCCAGGATCAAAACAGGGGTTTCCTATCTAGTTTTTCTTGGGAAGGAGAAGTCAATGTCCCCAGCTGGTCTTCCTGACACTCTCCCTTGGGGATTTCTACCCTTTAACTGCTTAGCTCCACCTATCCCCTGGGGCCCTGCAGCTGGACCCTCCCCATCTGCCCTGGGTTCAGTGTTCTCTACCCTGGTGCTCACCCTCACACCCTCCTGGGCTCGAGTGTCCCTCAACTCCATTAAGTTGCCCCCTGTGGTCTCTCCACAGCTGGTTCCCTACTGGGAGAAGACCTTTGATATCGACCTGTCAGCCCCGCAAATAGGAGTCGTCAATGTGACTGATGTAAGTTCCCCTCCCTCCCCCCTGGTTGACCCCCAGCTCTGCTTCCCAGAGTAGCTGGCTCTCCTCTGCTCTGCTGAGCTGCTGAGTCAGAACCAGACCTGCCCGGCCAACCCTGCCCTGCACGTGGCTGCCTCCACCTGTTAGAATTGGCTGCTCCTCCTTCAAGGCCCAGTTCCAACACTCTCTTCTCCATGAAGTCTTTCCAGATCTCCCACTTGGAATCATTTCTTCCTTAGCACTCTCAGAACCCTCTGGGCATTGAAAACATGACTTTCATATGGCTATTTTTGTACCATGTGTGTCTCTTCCAGTAGACTTTGAGCTTTAAAAAAAAAAAAAAATTATATATATATATGTATATATATATATATATATGTTTTTATTGATTTCAGACAGAGGAAGGGATAGAGAGAGATAAAAACATCAATGATGAGAGAGGGTCATTGATTGGCTGCCTCCTGCATAACCCCTGCCAGGGATTGAGCCACAACTAGGGCATGTGCCCTGACCAGAATCGAACCTTGATCTCCTGGATCATAGGTCAATGTGCAACCACTAAGCCACACCAGCCAGGCGATTGGGGCTTTTTGAGGGCAGAAATCTCATTCACACACGACAGGTGCTTTGGTAACGTTTGCTGAGTTGAACTGATAAGCCACTCCTTTGCTTTCATATAACTCTCAGTCTAACTAGGGAGGCAGGCGTTCCATTAACCACCGAGCCAGATCTGATCAACTCTCTAATAAAGATACAAATAAAGTGCTAGGAAGGCGGAGAAATCAAAGTGATTCCTGCTTAAGAGAATCGGAGAAGGGTCTAAAAGGAGTGGCATTCCAAGGGGAGATTTTACAATGGAGAGGAGTTCTCCAAGTGAAAATTATGAGAAGTCACTTCCAAACCGATGGAAAAGTTAGTGCAAAAGGTCAAAGTAGGAAAATGAATATCAGGATCAGAAAAAGGCAAATAGTTTTCTGTGGCTTGAGAGTCTAGAGATCTCTGAGGCGCTGGGAAAGCAGGTTATAAAAAGCCTTGAATGCCGAAGAGTTTCTGCCTTTCTTCTCCAGGCCATGGAGAGCCACCAGTGGTTTTGCGTCGGGGCGTGATAGCGAGGTCTGTTTTAGGAAGCTCAGCCTGCCAAGGGCATGGCAGAAAGACGGAAGGGAGAAGACCCATTTGCCCATCCAGCAGTTCTTTCTACTCCTACTGTCACCGTTCTAGCCTAGACCTTTTTCCCTGGCCACTGGCACAGGAAGAGAGGGGACCAGATGATGTAGGGAAGGCCGGACAGGGCCCACTGAGTAGGGGGACAGCCCAGAGACCTCAGTGAGGCCTAGCTCCGGGCCTGTGTCTGTGCCTGTCCAGGCTGACAGCATATGGATGGAGATGGACGACGAGGAGGACCTGCCCTCGGCCGAGGAGCTGGAGGACTGGCTGGAGGACGTGCTGGAGGGCGAGATCAACACAGAGGACGATGATGACGACGACGACGACGACGACGATGATGATGATGATGATGACGATGACTAGCTGCTATGACAACCATCCCTGTGCCCCACACGCTCTCCTCAGGCTCCCTCCCGCCTTCCCTGAAGTCCTCCAGGGATACTAGGTCATCTTCTGCCATAGGGCCCCATGGGGTCTATATGCTGAGTGCTGGGACCCTGGCCCCCCTCACCTGCTGAGGAAAGGAGCTACTTTTCCCTACAAAACAGCCCAGCTATCTCTGACTTCCGTCTCCTGTCCCACAGTGTCCTGTATCTATCCACTGCTCCCCAAACTCTTTCTTGTAATTTTTCCTCTTGCCATATCTCTGGGCCCCGGTCTCTCTTCTGTTCCCGCCATCTGTGCACACTCTTCCCTCACTCTCTCAAATCCTATATCCTCGTGACTGTCCTCTCCCTGGCCAAGAGGAAGGGAGGGCACTGTGTTTGGGGCTGTATCTCAGCAATCTTTTGTTAATGTATTTGGGTCAAACAAGAAGCCTCAATAAAAGATCTGGGGCAGCTGAGCAAGTGTCTGCTGGTAAGGTCTCACCCCTGTGGCAGGAGGGAGCCAGCCACAGGGGGTAGGTTAGGTGTGAGTGCCTTTTAAGGGGCTGCCATGTGGGGGTGGGGGGAGGTTGGGCTCCCTCGGGCAGTTGTCCCAGAGGGGCTTGGATTATTTATCTGCTGCTAGTCAACAAGCCTTTTCTGAACACATGGTGTTCGTCCAGCACCGCTGTGAGGCTCTGGGAGAACAGAGTGCTGGCCCGCCTGATTAACCTGACTGGGAAGTCAAGACAAGCACACTAAACAAGTGAAGAAAAATACAAAGCAATATGTAATTAAGTGCTTGTGTATTGCTTGATAGCACCCTCCCTGCAGCTCTTATTTGAATGTCAAGACTGAGCCCAAACAGCATTTCTTGTTGAGGCCTTTCCAGAGGTGGCCCTTTCTGCAGTTCCCGCCTCTGGGCTCACACTGCACCTTCTCTATACACCTCTGTTCTCTAATCAGCAGTTCTATCCTAGCTCTTCTTTTTCATGTCTGTCTGCCCCCACTAGACTGTGTGCCCCTTGAAGGCAGGAACCCAGAACCCAGGCCTTTTGTCTGTGTCCACAGGGCCTGGCACCCAAAAAGTAGTCCCTAGTAAGTATTGGTTAAAAGAAGGAACGAATGAGTGGAATGGGCTTAGAGAGATCAGAGTGGGCTTTGACGGCTTCATAAAGGAGGTGAATAGCTTTCTAGGCCTTAACTAAACAATGGGATTTGATTAGGGGCCAAGGAGTTGGGGAGGAGACATTTTAGCCAGTGGAAATGTCAAAAGCACCAGAAAAATCTGTGTGTCCTTTTAGAGACACAGAGGAGACCAGAAAGTCAAAAAGAGAAGCTTAAGTGGTGGCTGTGATATGAAGTGGGCATGACAACCTAGATTGTAGAGGTGTCTGAATTTAATCCTGTGAGCTGGGGAGGAAGGGCAAAATTGAATCTGGCAGTGATGAGCAGGATGGATCCAGGGAGGCGACATGTCAGGTACCAGAGACAGGGAGCCCAACTCTTATGACCAGAGACTATTATAATAATTGGGGTAAAGTAGGGAGAACATGGACCAAGTGGTGGTTATGGGTCTGGAGAGGAGACATTGAGTTTTGTGCGCTGAGGAGCCCCGAGACCGGGGCCTGCTAGAGTTCCCGGCAGGAAGGATGCACATTTTCTCCAGCCCAGCCCAGGCTGAGGTGCCTATAAAGGAGTCAGGAGTGGGGGTGGGGGAACCAAGCAGCTGAACAAGCCCATAACTAACAGTTTTCATGGATCAGGGATAAGAGTGTTGCTGGGAGACTTAGAAGATTCCTGGGCATGGAAGAACGAGACCTGAGGTTAGAAAAGTTTTCACCCTCCACAGACAAATCCAGAAAGTGGCAGACGTGTAGAGTAAAAACCAACTTGTGCCCATGTAATAACAGTACGGGCACTGGGCCAGTACAGTATCGTGGAGCTTACTGTTTAGCAGAGGTCAGTGGAAGGCCTGGACTAAATAATAGCTCCAGTCTTAAGCCCCCATCTGTGCGAGTCCCTAGGGACTGACAATTTCTAAATCTCAGAAGAGCCCTGTAAGATGGGCATCGGTGCCCTCGTCTCACCAGCAAGGACACCAGCGAGGCTCAGGAGCACAACCCGCCTGAGAAGGGGGCCGAGGCGGCACGCAGCCCCAGTCCCCTGTACCTGGCAGTGTCTGGAAGACCTGGAATTCCCACTAATGTGGACAAATCATTTTGTTTGAGTGTCAGGCATGGGTCCACGGAACAGTTTTCACCATACCACACAGAACAACTGAGATACATACAAAGGCAAATTATGCAGGTGCTCCCATCAAGGGGCAGCAACAGGGCCCCCTGGGGGACAGAGCGAAGAGCAAGAAGAGCTGTGAAACCCAAAGCCGCCAAGCCTGAGCCTCTGCTCGGGGCAGTACCGGCCCTAGAAAGGAGGACTCACTTGTGGCTTCCTGAGGGGTCTCTACCAGGCTGAACTGAGGGGGAGGCCGGGGCAGCCCCAGAGGTGGTCCGGACACTGGAGGGGCTCAGACCTCTCCCCAGGGCCAGGCTCTGCCAGAGCTGAGGCGAGATCCTTTATGTTGGAGATGGGGGTGAAAACAGATGCTCCCCCACTTCTTCCTTCCTTCTTTCAGTCCGGCGGAGAGTCTGCGGGAGGAAAGTCCCTGGGTGGAAGGGAAGTGAGAGCTGCCCTGCACTGCACAGGCCTGGGCAGAGGGGCAGAGCTGGGAGGCAGAGCTAAGTGAGGCTTTGCACATTGTCTATATTTGCATGCTGAGCTCACTGCTGTTCTTTTTTCTCCCTAGAAAATAAAATGACATCATGGTGGGGGGAAGGCAGCAGGGTGGTATATTTGAGAAAGGTAACAAACAACAACAGCAAAAGCACACACGTGAAGGGGCTGGCTGGCTGCATCTTGGAGACCCAAGGCTCCAGGTCCAGCGAAGGCGGCCCCGGAATTGCTTCTGGCCCCCACCCCTACCTCCCCCCCCCAACGTGGGCCGTCTGAGCGGTCATTACCCACGACCCAGAGGTGGGGGCAGAGCTTTCGCCAAAGACCAAGTCAGGCAGCTGAGAGGACCCAGAGGCCAAAGGCCTTCCAAAGCCTCGTGTCTAAGTTCCTGCGTCCCCAGGGCCCCAGCCTTGCAGTCGTCGTAAGGTCCCCAGGGAGGAGGGTGTCCAGCGGAAGGAATTAAATCTGAGACTCGGGTTTTG